GATAAACAGAGCCAGTTGCTATTGGATTGGGTGATGGTATCAGTCTTTAAAACATCTTTTACAAATAAATAAAGGGAAGATGTAAAATACTGGGATTTGCTTGGTGAATATTAACTGCAAAATTTCTTCCTTTTTCTGAAATTTTTTTTTTTCCTACCTGGCGCTATCTCCTGATGCCCGCAGACAGCAGCCAGTTCACTGGCTTAGTTCAGGGGTATCATTTGGCGTCCTTTGTCTTCTAAGTTTTTCCAGGGCATAAAACAGGCAAAATAATTGCCAGAGATTTCTAATTCCATGACACATACTATTTTTACATACCAATAGGTGCTTGGCAGATGATTCATTTTTTTCAAGTGGCTTATTCAAAGGTAGGAAGAAGACAAGAAGGAGGGGCTGGGGATTTAGCTCAGGGTCGTGAGTTCGGTTCCCGGTACCGGAGAAAAACAAAACAAAACAAAACAAAACAAAAAGACAAGAAGGAGATGTTTCATGGTAGCAATCTCTAATTATCATAGTCATTTCCATAGGGGAAGGCCATGGATCCAGGAAAGAGCATTGTTAACCCAGCAGGGTGGGATGGTACACACTTCTCATACCAGCACTCAGGAGGCTGAGGCAGAAGGGTTGCTGGGGGCTCAAGGCTGGCTTGGGCTACACAGGGAGTTCAAGGTCAGCCTGAACTGTACAGCAAGACTTTGTCTCAAAGAGAAGAAGACACTGGTAACCTGCCACCTGGTCACTACTCAGTACCCTTATAGTTTGAAGTTAGTAGCTCCCATTAACGATGTGGTTGCTCCTTTTCTTTTTTTTCTTTTGAGATTGGGTCTTGCTGTCTAGTCCACACTGGCCTCAAACTCATGGTGATCTTCCTGCCTCAGCCTCCTGGGGTGCTGAGATTATAGGCAGGTGCCACCACACCTAGCATTTGGTTACTCTATTGAAAGCCCTTTGCTACTTGCTATGATTTCTAATATTAATATTACTAACACCTTTAAAATAATTCAGGCTCTTAATTTCATTCTCATAGTCACAACACCCCTCTGAGACAGAATGGTTTTCATTGTCCATCATTAACAACAGGGAACTCAGAACATGGAGAAGTTAAGTAGATTTCTAAAACTCATGGCTATTTGATGCAATAGTCAGATTTAAAATTCAGGCCTTTTGGCTTCCAACCAAGTTTCTTTTTCTCTAGGAAGAGTGTTTTTTTTTGTTGTTGTTGTTACCGACACTCGAACTCATGACCTCAGGCTTGCCAGGCAAGCCCTTATGCCACTGAGCTATATCTCTGGACTTTTTTTTTTTTTAGGAAGAGTGTTTCCTTTTTATTTAAACATAAAAAAATTTTAACCAGCCATTGTAGCACACAGTTGTAATTCCTTGGAGGCTGAGGCAGGAGGATCCCAAGTTCCAACCCAGTGAGGGGAAGTTAGGGACTTCATCTGTCTCCAAATTTAAAAACTTAAAATGGAACTGGAATGCAGCTCAGTTCAAAGGCCCTAGGTTCAACTTCCGGTGCCACCAAAAAAAAAAAAAAAAAAGAACAACAACAACA